TAGATAGATAGATAGATAGATAGATAGATAGATAGATAGATAGATAGTAAATTGGAGCTGATCTCAAAGGGAAGACAAAAGCAGTAAGGAGAAAAGGCTTGTTGTATGAGCTGAGATGTTAAGGGAGACTGCTGGAAGGAAGTCAAAGAAGCCAGGAGGTGAAGACAAGAAGGGATAGTGTTGTAGGCATGGAGGCCCACCGGTGAAAACACATGGAGTTGGGAAATGGACTATCTTATGAGAAACACTAAGGCCAGTGTCACTGGATCATAGCACATGTGAAGGGAGACTAGAATGGTAGGAAGGGACCAGGTTATGGAAGACTTGAAAACCAAATAACATTTTCTATTTGATTTTGGAAGTAATAGAGAGTTATTGATGTTATTGAATAGGAGTGGGGGGTAGGAGAAAGGGTTCACATGGTCAGACCTATGCTTTGGGTTGCCTTCTTTGATAGCTGAATGGAGTGGAGAGAGACTTGCAGCAGGGCCACCAACTAGAAGGCTAAAAATAGGGATAATAAGAGGATCATGGTACAGTGGAAAGAGTGCTAAAGTCAGAGGACCTGGGTTCAAATTCTGGTTCTGCCCCTTACTACCTATGTGACCTTTTTCGAATGGCCTATCCTACCTAGGCCTCAGTTTGTTCACTTGTAAAATGAAGGGGTTATAGATAGATGACCTTAGCACTTAGTACAGTGCCTGACATTACATTGTGAATGCATGTTGACTGACTGACCTTTAAGATCCCTCCTGTTTCTAAATCCATCATCCTACCTGTAGCACCTCCCTCACCGAGTTCTTATAAAGCTTAAATGAGGTCATGAATATAATTAAGCCACTAAATTTCAGTTATCATCCTCATCTAGTCCAACCTCGTGGTTTATAGGCCAGGAGACAAGGAGTCTCCTTGGGCAATGGCCCAAGGTCCCTGGGTTGAAAAAGGTCAAAGTCAAAATTCAAACCTAGAACCTTTTGATTTCTGGTTCATTGTTCTTCCTTCTACCCTACTGATGCCTTTCTTTCTAGTGAGTTCTTTATTTAAAATAATAGTTCCATAAACCGTGCTCACCTTACCAGTGATTGACTGTAAGTTTTAGAATGCTTTTGCTCTGAAAGACGCCTTCCAAGGAACCATCCATCCACAGTGAACCCCTCAGCTTTTCCCCCTAGGACACCAGGATTCTACACCTAAAACAAAGCTATATCTTGGGAGCATATTTATTTATGACTTATACCCCGACAGTTTCACAAAAAGATTTGAGGATAGAGTGTGAAAGGCGAGTGGAGATGTTTCAAGTTACAGAGTTCCCTGGGGTGGCCTCTCATCTCCCTTGCTGTAAAATAAATAATCCACAACTCAACTGATATCTGTGTGCGGGTGTGTGAAAGTGTGTTTAGGAAAGAACAGTGGTAGTAAAATAAGTTTAAAAATAAAGTTTGTAGGAGAAAATTTAAACCCATCCATTTCAAGATCTAGAAACTAAATTTAAAAGAAAATGACAGTGACCCTTTGACTGTCATAGGCAATCCAGACCACACCTAAACCTGTTCTGCACTCTCCTCCCACCCACCTGTGGAGAATGATGGAGATGGGATTGTGTGGGTGGTGTATATGAAGTAATCTAACAGTGTCCTGTAGCTCCCACAGATGAAATGGGGGGGGGGGGGGGAGAGAGGAAGTTCTTTCAAGAGCTTGAAAGAAATAAATGTTTTTGGGGGGCAGTGGATTGTAAACTCAACATAAGTCAATGTGAATGATCAGAAGGGACTTTCAGAGAGGTAGTGTCCAGAACAAGGAAGATGATGGTTCCATTGTACTCTGCCCTGGCCAGACCACATTTGGAGGATGGTGTTTGGTTCTGGGCACCACATTTAAGAAGCAGGCAGCAAGGAACAGTGACCTCCTAATGGAAGGTAACTGTGAGGGTGAAGGTCCTAGAAGAAACTATCAGAGGAATGGAGAAGGGCTGGTTTGAAGGAAAGATGAGGAAGGGTGGGGCAAATAAACAGAATAGCTGTGTCCAAGTATTTAGAGGGCTTTCCTTTGGGAAGAGGAAGTGGACTTGTGCTACTTGGGCCTTGAGGGTCTACTCTACTGGGAGTAATAGCAGCGAGTTGTAAAGAGGCCAAATTAGGATTGATGTCCACAGAGGAACGACACAGGGGAGCCTGGGGCACTCTCCCAGGACGCTACGGGGGCCCCTAGCTCTTGACCCTTGCTGGCAGACTGAGACCCAAGGGTGAAACCAACTCTAGAATCACAGAAATAGAGGTTTAAAGCTAGAAAGGGGAAGGGAATAAACATTTACAAAGCACCTACTGTTGTGGTTGTTGTTTGTTCTTGAAGAGGACCATGACATCAGGAAGGTGATGTCTTGACTTGTAAGTGAATTGGATTTAAGTGAGGGAAAGGCTGTGCAAAGTCACCAGTCTCACCTTCTCCTCCAGAGCCATCTGGGTCCAGTGGCAAGACTGGAGATGGCCCAGGATGCGGGGAGATCTTGGCCTTTTTAAGCTAAGGTCTTTCCCAGGTCTCAGTTTAACTAAGGCAATATCCATTCAATGATTAAGGCTAGGTAAGAAATGAGGCAAAAAATGACCTCTTCTACCAAGAGCCAGGTCCTGTGCTAAGTACTTTACAAATATTATCTCACTTGATTATCTCAATTAACCTTTGAGCTCTTCCAGGCTAAGCCCCTCATTTTGCAGAGAATGAAACTGAATCCAAGGCAATGACTTGCCCAAGGTCACATAGCTAGCATATAAGTGACTGAGCCAGGATTCAAACCCAAGTCTTCTGACTCCAAATTTATCCCAATTTTTTCTACACTAGGAAAGAAAAGTCAATAGACCTGATGATGCCTCTGAAGATGTCCCAGATAAGCAACTAAGTGACATGGATGAGATTTCTATGATGTATGTGGTTTCTTAGAATGTTGCATAAGCAACTGAGGAACTAAGCACATTTCTTAGTGATGACACTCTCAGGTGCCTGCACGGCCCAAAATACAAGAGAACAGAGAGAATCACAGAGGCCTTGAGGCCCTGGAGAAACCATTGATTGGTAAGACCAGGGCAACGCCAGCCCAAGCTGAGCACTTCTCCTGGCCAAGGGCTTGAAGAGACAAGGATGCACGAGTTTCCTGAATATCTGCCTGTAATCATTAG